TTAAGAGAATCGTCGTTTTTATTCCCGTTTCCTCTCATTCGTTTATTCTATAGATCAGGTAATATTTGATATGGTTGAGAATTGAAAAAAAAAATGTTCATCGATGAATATGATTGAATTCAAAGAATAACTGCTTGAACGACGACGAAAACAAAATTCGTCGTTTTAAATGAACGATGACTGTGCCAACGACAATGCCGTTGTTGACACGAACACTGATGAAGACAAGTTCACGCAAAATACGATCACATCGTTGACTCTCTCAAGAAAACGGATTGTTTTGTTATTATTATTGTTGTTCAATGTGCCCATAAAATAATTTATCATCAGCAAGACACAAACTACAACAAGCACACACACACAACTGTGAAGAACAAACGAAACGAATCTCACAATGTATGAGATGTGAATGTGTTCAACAATCATCACAGATATTCTTCTTTTAAACAAACTTTTAATTTCTCGACATTTTTTTCTCTTTGATTTTTATGTTTTATTACGCATTTGCAGAGCGTGTTTAAATATTCGTCGCCGTTGATCGCGTTGTGCTTATTTTCTTCATCTTTTATATGTTTGTTCGATCCGCCACGGTGAATAATCGCTTTTCGGTTCAGGTTTTTATGATTGTATTTATTATAATGAAGGGTCACCAAAACGTCAATCAAAATATATATATATAAGATGAGAAAAGATGCCGTCCGCCAAAAGAAATATTTATCGAAATAAATAAATGTCACATTTTGATTGTTGTTGAATCACACACACACAAACTCACCCGCAAACCAAGGAATCACCGTGAATGCGGTGCCATTTAAGACATCATATTTACGAAGAAATCCGTTTGTTCTTTTCATATTTCTCAGTCATCAAATTCGCCGAAAGCAACAACTGTTTTGTTCGATTTCTTGTTGATTTTATTTATTGGCAAACACGAATTTTTCAACAAAAAAATGTCGTTAAAATTCACAAAGAGATATTGGATCGGATTTTTGCATTCATAATTAAACATCGAAATATAAAAAAAAATGAAGCAAATACAAGAACAAATCGGATCACAGTGGTGTGCTCGCGGTTGCCTTTGTCTACGTTATAAATAGTTTGGGCTGCTGAATGCAAGTTTTGCGACAACTTTGAAAGTGAATTGTAGCGAATAAACAGACCACCTGGATCTATATATCCATCTGCGTGCTTAATTTCTCTTCGTGTTTTTTTTGGTCACGATTCTATTCCGGTTCTAAAGAAAACCAAAAACCGAATCAACCGATATCATCCTCGTTAAAAAGTTTCACAAAAAAAAGAATGTTGACATTTTAATGTTCAAAATTGATTGTGTATTTGCAATGGATCTGAATCTAATATATGTGCACACACATACAAACCCAAACACGCACGAATACAAACGTATAAGACAACAGCAAAGCACATAAAAACAATGCACGAAAAGTGAAACAAATCATAAATGATGATGAACGAAATGCGGCGCGGTCATTTTGCAATTTACAAATTCGACAAACAAATGGCTTTTTCGGGAACTCGTAGCATTTAATCATCTTTATAGAACAAGCCGACTGATGAATGTCGACAGTAAAAAAAACGTCTCGTTTCATCAATTGGACAAAGGGGAGCCTCAAGTATCATTGGACGCGCACGAAATACGAACGACGAAAAATCGAAACCGTTGTGTTTGTGTGACGTGAACTTACCGAAAAAAAAACGAGCAAAAATAAAATCAACCACAACCATATCTTTATGCTCACGACCAAAGCTGACTCTGATTGTACGGTGTAACCAATAGGTTTTTATTTATCATACGTTGTGTTCGCGAATCGACTTATTACATTTGTTGTGTTATGCTGCCTCCTTTTTTTGTCTTTCTGGCTCTACTCCGTTAGCATTTACTCTGCATTGGGACGCAATTCATTTTCGCTTTTTTACCTTTTGACAAATATGTTTTATGACTGTTTTTTTTCCTGCGTTATTTTCGTGAGAGACCCTTAACCGAAGCGATAATCATTGCCAATGTGCCTTTTTTGGCGTTTCTTTCGGTGTCGAGTGTGTGTGTGTGCGTGCATTTTTTTTGTCTTTTGTTGGTTTCATTTTTCAAGTCATCTTCCTTCGGTTGTGTCTTGCATTTTACTAAATGTGTATGATTTGGTTTACCGTGCGAACTTTTTGAGCTGCGGGCAATTTGCATCGAGAAATTTTTTCGCATTATTACATTTTTTTATGATTTATTTCGTCTGTGGGTTTGTGTGTGAACCGAATGAAGAGAAGAAAAAAAAATAAATCAACAAAGTTTTTGCTTCGTCGCAGACCATTTATCTGTCGACATGCTGTATTGTCCGAATGGACAGCGGCAAACAACAAGAAAGTGTCTCACTGCATGACATAAAAACACATCATTGATCGCTTTCAGCTTATCATTAATCGCATACATTTCGAAATCGAAATTCGATCAAAGGTGTTAGAAGTGTCTATGGTTCAAACTTCGTAGCTCCGCTCTCTTATGCTTGCCTCACCACAACGACTCGTGCTAATTTATAAATCATTCATTCGCCTTCAAGAGTGCATGATGTGACAACGAAAAATAAATTCAAACAATTTAGGAACATTTTTATTATATACATTTTATATAACGACTTGATCGACAACAGCGCTTTTAATCGCAACAATATCGAATTCCAGTGCATCGTTGCATTGGCGACAGAGAATTCTAATTGGAATGATTGTACTTTTTTATATTGACGAAATGAGCGTATGGAGCGCTTGAAAGATAAACATAATTCAAAATTTTTGTGGTAAGCATAAATCGATCTGCCCGGGCAATAAATATAAAATCGAAACAATAGACTGTATGTGTTATTATGTGTGAATAAAAATGCTTGGGAATGCATTCAAATGCGCGCGTGTAATGAACGTGTAGAAATGAAAGATGAAAATCCTGATGGGCCATAAAAATGCTGAAATGTTCTGTTGTGATCGAGAGTGTACAAATGTGATTCGTAAAATCAAATGATTGCTTACATTCTGCGAATCATTATGATGCGGAGATCGGCTGCCGGTGACGATTTCCAGCGTTGACATTTATACGGTAGTTATTTTTGTTCTGCTGCATAAATCCGAGATTTAATAGTTTTCAGCAGAGAGTGATCGAGAGAGGCAGAGAGAGAGGCACACAAAACGATAAACCTGACCACTGATGATACAAACAAGAAGATGCACAGCAAGTAATTTATCATTCTTGTGGCCGGTGCAAGCGATGCACCAAAGTAAGTTATTCTTTGACTGCTCTCTGCTCATCATCATCATGAAAGGAGCGTGCGGTGTGCAGAGTGTACAGAACAAGCAAACAGAAGAAGAAAAAAAAAGCCTTCGAATACAAAGCATAAAATGTGATTTAGAGTCAGGCGGCCAGTAAAATGGAAGTTGGTGGTGTTCGCTTCATATGTTCATTACGGCATATACGATTGGCAAAATCAAGAAAACCAGTTCAATAAATGAAATAATAAACCGACAAATCGTGCGAAATAGGAACGGAAAAGTGTCGCGAGCATCTAGACGATTTTTTCTCGTAAATCATTAAATTTATTGCAGCATTGCAACAAAATGGCGCGACCAACCAACTTCTCTCTCTATTTTTTTTTAGCAAGCAATGGTAATGACAACAATTTCATCATATAATTTCATCTCGGTGCCTCTCTTTTATTATTGTATTTTTTTCAATTAATCGACAAGAGCGAGAGGGAGAGAGAGAGAGAGAAAAACCAAAATAATAACAACAACAACATACTTCGGCCGATACACGGAATTAATGCGGCACAAAACTCGTTTCCAATGATTCGAATCACCCTGGCACTTTTATGTCTTTTGTATAAATAATTTTTATGTGAATAGTTGTCGTCGTTGTCAACATTTAATTTTTTTCTTCTTCTTCTTATTTTTTTTCGTTGTTTTTGTTTCGAGCGGTTACACAGTTTCTTTTATGAACTTCATTTTCGACCCGATCACATTCATTGAGATCATCCGCAAAAGGCACAGTGACAACCGATGTATAATTAGATGCGTGTACGAGCCGCGCAAAACTGAAAGACAATCATAAAAAAAATGCCAAGCAAAAATAAAAATTACGTTTGTTTATAATTAAAACGAGTCATACGACTTTGACAATATTGCCTGGATCATCATGTCAGTACAAGAGTGAATTGAAGCGATAAATTAAAAATAGACCCGTTCACGTCTATAATATATATAAACATTTGATGAAACTGTCATTTAGTCGAAGTTTTCTTTTGTGCCAACGAACTAATTTTCGAACTGATTTTTCTTACATCTAAATTCCATTGTCGATTATTCATGCCACTGAAGATTTCATTTTTTTTTTATTCGCGAAACATTTGGAGAATGATTTTTTTTTCATGTTTTACGACATTTTTTCAGAGTCAAAAGCATTTCGTTTGCATACAATACACCGAGAGAAAATCACACGCAGCAACAACTTTGATTCATAAATTATGATTAATATTTTGATATAGAGTAGAAATCTACAGAAAAAAACACACTACACTATGTGCTTGTGACAGCACAACAACGAAAACGAGACGATCTTCTTTGCCTTTTTAAAAAAATTCAATCATTATTTACACATACGATTTTATTACAATAGCATTTCTTAGCCTTCAACTATTCGGAAATGTTTATAATTTGAATTTCATTTGTCGCTTTTGAACACATGGTCGTTTGAAACACACTTTTTTTTGTGTGTTTTCGTGTGAGGTACGATTCGAGCTTAGAATTGAATCAAAAGATCGCTTGAGCTGATTAAATTACAATAGTAATAACGTCCGAACGACCGAAGATTCTCTTTTTAATTTGCTACTGTCATCACATCTAATAGTCATTTCAACGCACACATTTTAATTCGCTTTCAATTCAATGAATGGAATTTGATAAAATTAAAAAAATAATAATAATAACATTTTGATTTGAAATGTGACACTTACCCATTAAAAATGGTTGTGATTTGTTGGGAGGGAATTTTCTATTGTCTCCTAGAATTTAAATTGTGTGAACTGATTTCTAGGATTTGAAGAAAATGGATTGGCATTCACTGTAGCTGCTGAATAATTTTTTATTTCGAAATTATATCCGGATATGCGAAAATGTATATAAAGTCGATAAAATTTTGTGATTTTTTGTGTGTTAATCGAATTTGTGAATTTTTGGTTCGTTGATATATTTCACGATTTTCGCCACAATATTTTCATGGTGTTTTATTGGTGGTACACACTTTTCAATCTCACTCTTAAGTAAAGTTTCACTTGAATCAAGTAATCACTTTAATTTGTACATTTTTGTTTCTTGCACTTTATTTTTTCCAAAAAAAGTGTTTTTTTCTCTATGATTTCTTTTTCTACATAAATTGTATTGTTTTGATTTGCAATTGTCCAATGCTTTTCTATCACGATATCAGAAAACTGTTTTGTCAAGAAAAAGAAAACAAATTTCAAAGTTCAACAAATTGTCTATGACTACGAAAAAAAAAAACGGTTTTATTTGATGCCTGTAGTCAATGGGAATCGCAGTTTTTCGCACTGAAGACGGAAAAATGTCCGATGTGTGAGAGGAAAAAAAGCGACGAACGGCGAAAAAAAATTGCGCGCGGTGTCCTCATGAACGTATTTATCAATACTAGCGCTAAAGTTAAACAGAACAAGTTAACCAAACAGTCAAAGCGCTATGATGACGGCTTCAACGACAGCGACAATAAACGAATACACAGAACAACGACGATGTGACGCAAAAATATCCATGTATTTATTCACACACAGGAAAATGAGCCAACCGAACAAGAGACGGAGCGAGTGAGTTGCGACCAATCGAGCCGACAGAGACAGAAAACGAGCAGAAAAATTGTTATTCTGTTGTTGATTTTTTTTTCTTCTTTTCGATGCTTCTGCTGTTGTTGTCGCTTTATGTTTGTTATATGTGTCGTTTGTTTCGCTTCGTACGCGGTCACGTCTGTATGTAGTCGTTCATGTACTTCGAAGTTCTCTTGCTCTGTCTCTCTATCACTCGAAAGCCAACCAACTTGAATACATATATGTGTAAGATTAGCAGTGGCACCGCACAACAAAACGATACATATGCACACAAAATGACCGATTTTATTCAAACTCTTCTAGTCGCACTTGGCCGACGTGGAGCGAAAAGAGCAAATAACACCGAAACCGATTAAAAATGCTTCTTGCTGTATTGTTTCTTTTTTTGCTCTGCTTTTTATGTTATTTTATTTGTGTTTGAAAGTCTCTTGTAAATTTTTCTCCTGTGTGTTTCGGTTTCCAAAGTGCTAAGACGACTCACTGTTGACGGTGTGCGTGACGGGTGAAGTGGCCAAAGTCAGGTGTCGTTTATGTACGGATCATATTCCGATGGATTATATGCGCTCGAGCGATATCAGCGTGTGTTTAGTCTTATTATTATTGTTATTATTCGCAAAATGCGTTCGTTCTTAATACTTCTTTTTTTTCTTGACTTTTTCTTATTCTCCTTATTTTTTTTTCTCCTTTTGCAATTATTTAATATCATCCATTTAACAGCTGGAGCTTATGTGATGCGCGCTGATCCAGATAAAATATGTACTTTATTTCAATTTAATTAAAAAAAAAGTTCACAAAATTTATTGTCCGTGCGAATATTTTTACGATCAAAACCGTTGTCTTCTCCACAAATTATGCGCTTTCGCGTTCGTTGTTAGTGCATTTGAAAATCGATAACACACAAATGTTCGAAATTTCAAAGTTTCTACCAACAAAAATAATTAACAATCTAAATTGTGACCTTGCGCAAATTTTTTTTTTCTCTCCTTTCGACAAAACAAAACTGACGAAATATTCGCTTTGAAAATTCGACTCGCTCGTGTTCGCTAACGCACGGCTTATCGTTTTATCTTCTGTATGTTTTGATGTTCGCTAGTTGACTAAATGCATTCACTCGTTGCTCATGATGTTATGCCTCATTGTTTCTCAAAACTCAAGCTTCACAGCCGAAGATTTTCCCAGCACAAGACTACACGTCGCATGCCCGATGTAGCTAACAAAAATACCAGCGAATGCAACATTTATCGAAGCAACACAACATTTCGATGTAATGTTATATGCGTCGATGCAACGTGTCATGCAACAGTTTCTGTATGGTTTGAACGTGAGGGGAAATCGACTTAGTTTGTGAATCACTTTTACCATCTTTCTATACCAAAAATTAATAGATAAATTACTGATTTTATTGGATTTGCCGTGTTCTTCTTTATTCATCATTCGCATTCATTTCGTATGCACAACTGTTGCTCGAGAAGTTGTTTTTTATTCAAACCATGAACAATTCTGGTTCCGTTTTACAAACGAAACATTTGCCGGTTGGAATTGTCTCGTGCGCACTGAACAATTTCAAAAATATATAAATATATTAAAACAAATGAAAGAAAGAAAAATCAGAACGTTTCTGGAATTTTCATCAGAATTATTTCAAAAGTACGGTGAGTTTAAGTAAAGGTAAAATATGCAAAGTTTTGGTGGTCGTCGTTTGCTGTAATTCACATACATAGCTGGTAAAATAGTTGAAAGTTTTTCCAAAATCCAATGTGATTTTCTAGTTCTGTGTGCGATTCATACGCAAAAGTAAAGAGACACGTTAAGACATTCGTAGCGCTCGCTCAACGAAGCAGTAGCTGTACATGCAAAAGAGTAAAAGAGAGAAAATGAGTAAATACTGTACGCGCGCGTGTATCGAAAGCAACGAACCGACATGCAAACGAATGAAGGAAGAAAGAGAAAGAGACGCAGAAACCAATCAGTGGCATATGATTGTGTGTATTTATTGTCGCAGAGATTCGTGCCGTTCGCATGTTGAGCATACTATTGTATGTGATTCTCGGTGTGTTTATGTATTTCAATTGTGGGATGTCCGTTCGAAAATCGGTGTCGTCGTCGTTGCTTCGTTATGTATTCGATTATGTCGTTGTTGGTCGCTAGATATCATTTGGAGACACATTATTTTGTGTGTTATTTGGCTTTTGCTGTATTGGTGTGTCCCTTTTTAAGTTGTATTGCACATGTATTGGTGTGTGTTGATCGTGCCAATGTATGTACATAACTGCTTTGGCTTATGTGGAGGAAAACCATTGCCTGATATTCGCATTGGCTGTACTATTCACATATCACACATTTTATTTTGAACAAATATTGCTTTTTTTAATGTGAGTTTGTCGTTGCCTGCCCGTTTTACTTGCTTTTATGTTTTTATTTTTATGGTACGAATCGAATCTTGCAGGCTGGCATTACACTAATTTTTTTGTACATAATCGAAAACGACACATTGAAATATCTATATGTGACTTGCCTCACAATTTTCAATATTTCAAACTTTTTTTTTCGCAAATTTTTCCATTTTATATATTTTTAGCTCAAAACTAGTTTGAACAATTCCATTTTATTCTTTTGCACGCTGATTTTTTCCAGTTCTTCTTTGTTTTTCATACAAAATCCAAATCCAGTGAAGAATTTTGTTTGAAGATTTCTCCCGATTTCTACATACCATACATGGGTCTCATAAAGTTGCAAACATTTTTCTTCCTATTTTTCGTTCGATTTGTACATGAAAATGCGACAAAGTATTGCACATGCGTATAATTGAAATTGGAAAAGAAATCATTGTCGCTTGATTTTGATTTAATATCTCTGCTCGGTTTCATCCCACTCTATATTCAAATCGTCTTCTTTTTTTCATTCAACCATATGAGCTCCACACGTTCTCCAGTTTTTGTTTCGCATTTCCAGAAAAAGAAGCAGTTCATATGCGGAGTCATATATGGCGATGACGGTTGTATTTTTAACGCAAACGGTCCAATTTGTATCGCGTGAATCGATTCGCAAGCATAAAATGTATGTGTTTATACAATTGTCACGTACGTGCTGGCCAAATTTATCGAACAAAATTGTGAATTTGTTGTACATTTGGGCGCAATTAGTTGAGTATAAAAAGGTGACCTCCTTGGGAAAATCGATTTTCATGTTGGCAACAGATGCCAAAATTATGAATAGCAAGCGGTAAATCGAATCAAAAACGAATAAAGTGGCCAAAACAAATTTAACCAATTAATGGCAATCATATTTTGCACCATTTTCACATTTGATTTTTATCGATGGCGTTCATGATTTTCTTTTTACATTCGGTCGAGATTTTTTTTTTCTTATTATGGCATAGCAGTGGAGAAAGAAGAAATAAATGGAAATTTGTTTAGAAAGTGTACCCAAGAACAGACACAGTGAATGTAGTGGGAAGAGGATGAAGAGAAAAAAAACGCAATTTCTGAAGAGGCGTGGTGACAAATTACATGCGCATGTAATGGAAAATTTGATTTTGTCACGCCAACCGGAAAATAAGTATAGCGCGTTGGTTATATTTGAAAGCGATGTCTTCATTTTTCGCCCTCCATGCAAAACATGTCAAATGCGTACAAAGCAAATATTAACAACAACTAAATTGTCCAACAGCGTAATAGCCGCTGACTGGCGAAAAACGTACAAATAATAATAAAAAAAAAGAACGGGCCAATATAATATGAATTCCATTAAATAAAACAAACAACACTTAGTGAACCGAACATGTGACACACATACAGTGGAGCATGAACAAAAAGAGACAAGCTTCTTGTGCAAAACGAAGACGAAAATGAGAACGGAAGAACAACATATTGTACAGCAACACATGTACATTGCTTTGGACAAAAGTCTGGCGAATGAAATTCAGAAGAAAAAAGTCCAAATAAAATTGTACGTAGCCAACGGCAATTAAGTGTCAATTGTCCAACACCACAAGCCATTACAAATTGTTCGTTCGTCTTGCCCATGTAATAATAACAACAACAAAAAACAGCAACGACGGAAGAGGGCATGCAAAAGATCGGGACGAGAGATGAAACGAAAAAAAGCTGCAAATGTGAAGCCGAAGTGGATTTGATGTATGGTTCAATGTGTTCTGTTTATGATTATGAACTCGGAAACAACACCAACCAAATCTTTGGATTGGTCGAAAATGACAGAGAAAAATAATCGAATAACATACACATACGAAAGGCCAAAAGTTGAAACAAATCCAAACGACACAACATATTGTGCACATATTATACTCTCTTTTTTATATAAACCGAACTGAGCTGAAAGAACCGAGCTACGGCATATTGGCGCAGATCGGAATGAAGAACATACAACAAGAGCCATACATTGAATATGAAATAAAGTATAAATAAGGATTGTAATTATACTCACGGCTGTTTGTATTTTTCTCTCTCTCCTCTTTTTAAGCACATAAAATGCCATTTTATATCGAGATATCGATTGGACGTTTTTCTTTCCTGGTAAAGGAAGACAGAGTGCAAAGCATATGTGCAATTTATTGGTGATGTTGTCAGTGTAGAGTTCTTGGAGTTGACTCGATGCTCATTTATATTTTTGAAAAGGTGTTTACCAACCAACACATCTCTCGATCAGGATCACAATATTGGAATTGTACATTTTGAAATGGCCGCGCGACGAACGAGGCAGGATCTTTGATTGCCCATATTGCAGCTATATACATCATCAGATGCTCTTGGAATTGGTTCGTTCGTTTATTCAAGTTTCTAATTGATACGAATGAAAAAAAAAAAAAATAACGAGCACTGAACAAAAAAAAAATTACAGTTTTGTTCCGCATTTACGAGTACGCGTATGTTTCATTACAAATTGTTATTAAAAAGCGGCACATATGCCAAGCGTGTACAACACTCTATTTTCCATCGGCTCTTGACCAATTGGGCGTCCAATATCAACGCAACTCATTTTGTAAGTCATCCATACGCGCCATTCAGTCACAACGCGAATGCGAAACAAGTGACTTTGGATGCCGAAATGATTTTAACGATGTGCCATTTTGTATTGGATTAATAAGTCATTATACGCCAAACCTTGACGAAATATGATTTTTTTTTTCTTTCTTTGATATTTGTGCGCACCATTTACCAAATCTAAAATGCACTGAAGAAATAATGCGCGAGATAATAGTCGCAAGGCATAATCATCGAAATTGTATTTAGCTGTAATAGCGCGTCCATATTTAGTGTGAAATGACCGACAAACACATTCGCATTTTGTAAATTAGTTTGATATTTTGTCGTAACTGTAACGCGTACACAACATTGTTTACACCAAATGTAAACGTCTTCTTCTTATTCGTGCATGTTCACGATTGTTGCCAATAAACGTTGAAAAAAAAAGTTGAAAATGAATGGATACCAAAACTACTTGGAAATGTTTGTTCATAAAATAGAGAACAAAGACATAAGAGCTTAGCAGAGAGAAAAAAAGTAGCATCGAGAAACTGTTTCAACGCTTTGATGACTGTTAATGATATAATTCGCTCATTTAGCCAGACATTTTGTTTTCGTATCGACGACTATTCATTAATTTTCACAATTCGTTTCTTTTGTACGGTGTTTGAGTCGTTGCTCGTTCATTCGCGCTCGCATTTAATGCAATGATGCTCTCTGCATGCACAAACATTGAATATTCACAGTTTCCCTTTGACGATTAAGAAGCAAAATAAAAAAAAAGAAATATATTTATTTATATATTATATCGTCCGTTATTGTTGAAAATGGCGTTATATTTTCTTCTTCATCATCAAAATTCCATGATTATGATAATAATGTGACTAATTGGGTTGTACGTGTGTGCACATGGCGATGTTATATATTAAATTTAATAGGTTTTATTGTTCCACGCTTCTCTAAAATCGGTTGCCATCATCTAGTCCATTTAATAGATCGTATTGTGATAGATTGCCATTGCCGCTGCAAAAATGGCCAACAATAGGCATACAAACGCGCATGTGACGGAAGAAAGGTAAATTGACTCGAAATACCGTTCAT